CGTTGCAACAGCTGCAAAAACAGAAACGTAAATTATAAGTTCAAATTACCGCTCGTGTTGTTCTTTCTTCTTCCTTTTTTATTTAAGTGGGATATTTTCTATATTGATTACTGTTGTTTGACTGGGTACCTATAAAATGTGTTAAAATATTTCGGAAATATAAAAAGTTATCCAGGAAAATCAAGTAGCGGCTGAGTAACGTCTTTTATAAATGCTCAAAAAATTGGTTATCCAATTATTTACCGTTATAAGCCACAAAGGTAATAAAACATTTTTCGCTTTTAATTATCTATTTATCTTTATTTGATTATTATACTCAAAACTAAGCAGTTTTTATTTTGAGTTTTTGAAACATAAACCATCTAAATTCAGTATTTGTATCTAGTTGAGTATTGCCAATGTATCTGATTTTGTTAAGGATACTTTCTCTCATCACTGATCTTAATTTACCTTCATTTCGCTGCAAAAATCATTGAACTGATCGAGATGAATCGTGCCAACATCCACCATTTAAAAAGTTTCATTATATATATATATATAAGTTATTTGTTCATAATTGTTCAAATACTTCCCTCAATAAGTATTACTGTAACTAAGATTTTTATCATTTTACTTGAAGCGGATCCCATTCCGTCCGATCAATGCCTTTGGCAGTTTGGACTCTTCCCAATTGATGATGCTTGCAACTCTCAGTATTTCAAGTGTGCCTGGGGGATTCGCTACGTAACCGACTGTGATGAGGGTTTGGTCTATGATGATACCAAAAAGGCATGTAATTGGCCAGATCTGTTGGGATGTAACAGTGAAGGTATGAATAGGTTTTCACTTTGAACACCACAACTTTCATTTGGCTCTATAAGCTAAGTATATCATAATATAGCTGAACCCGTAACAACAGATCAGGTAGAGTGATTATGAAAGTTTTGTTAAAACGAAACGTATATATTGAGATTTATTTGTTGAAGGGCTTACTAAAGCTAAACAAATAACCCTATAAACGTAAGACTTATATAACAAACATGTATAAAATACAGTACGTCTACTACATTCTATAGTATTAGTGGTAGTTTTTGAACTATTATTGCTGTATTTATGTTTACTTGATTTGACTGTTCCCAATAACTACCATACTTAATGTAAAGCAATATTATGAACTGTAAATAATGTACAGAAAGTAAGTCGTTATTTGGGATAAGTGACTCATTAAATTACTGTTTTAAAATAACTTACTGTATATCATAAACTTTTCTATGTACTGGTACGGTTAACAGATGTATAAGATGATAGCATTTAGTAAGACCAATACAATAACTTACTGTATATCATAAACTTTTCTATGTACTGGTACGGTTAACAGATGTATAAAATGATAGCATTTAGTAAGACCAATACAATAACTTACTGTATATCATAAACTTTTCTATGTACTGGTACGGTTAACAGATGGATAAAATGATAGCATTTAGTAAGACCAATACAATAACTTACTGTATATCATAAACTTTTCT